TGAGAGTTTTCTGCCTGCCTCTAAGTTTTTTTCATTCTGGCATGATAGGCTATCAGAACACTCCCATCCTTCTTGTTCTCAGTCATCACTGTAGCTGGTCTTTTGTATATTTTCCTCTTCACCCTCCAGCCCTGATTCTATAGCTTTCCAATCTCATATTGTCAACTTGTGGTGTCTCTTCATAATTTCAAATATATCATGGCCAAAGCTGGCCTCTTTCAGAATCTCTCCCATGTCTACTTAAACAAGTAATCCCTGAGACTCCTCCCTCAAATTCTTCTCCCTCTCTCTTCCCATTACAACTCAGTTGGAAGAAGAAAAAAAAACAAAGACAAAATCTATTGTTTCTCCCTCCACCTATATCCTAGGTTGTTATTTTTCCTTGATGTTCTCCTAGCCTTTATACCCAAGAAACTATGATCATGTCTTAGCTAATATTGCTGTCTAGTCTTTTTTCTTCTGATCCTTTCTGCACATAATATAGTTATGCTTTTCTCAATACAGTCTTTTCCTTGAGTTTCTCCTATGTTTAGAAGCCTGAAGTAGAATCCAGCCTTTCCTGAATCAGTTGTAAATACTTTGCTAAGTTTTAAGTATTATAGAATCTACTGCAAATTTATCAAACCTCATTTCCTGTTGTTTCCTTAAACACATCTCTATATCAGACAAGGCAGTTCTCACTCACCTCACCAACACAGAGTTTATTTCTAGCTTTCATATCTCTCTTCACTTAAAAGGTTTTTTAAAAATACTTTTTGTTTATGCTAGTTCTATTCATTAAAAATCTAAATCTCGGGGCACCTGGGTGGCTTAGTCGGTTAAGCGTCCAACTTTCGCTTAGGTCATGATCTCGCGGTTCGTGGGTTCGAGCCCCGCGTCGGGCTCTGTGCTGACTGCCAGCTCAGAGCCTGGAGCCTGTTTCAGTCTGTGGCTCCCTCTCTCTCTGACCCTCCCCTGTTCACGCTGTCTCTCTGTCTCTCCTAGAAAAAAAAAAAAAATCTAAATCTCAACTCACACCTTTTTTCATGAAGTTTTCTCTGGCCACTCTAACCTGCAACCTTGATTTATTTTTTGCCTCATTGAATTTCTGTTGGTCTTTCCTGATTGAATGTTATCTTGAATTGTTCTTGAATACTTTAATAAGAATTAGCCTCATCTTTCCAATTAGAGTCTGAACTCATCAAGGATCAGAGACTACTCTAAATTCTCTTTCGAATCAACAGAGAGGCTAATTTTTGTGATGTCCATCCTTCATTCTCTGATAAAAGATAAAGTTTTCTACCATTTGAATTTAAATAGCTTCTGAAAGTCTATGGTGTCTTTTCATTTACATTATCTATGAATCAGAAAGCCTTACCAGAATTTAATTAATTTGTATTTTCAATCAGAGAAATTAGCTGCTGACCACCCTCTGTAGAGTTTCAAGGACATCTTGGAAAAAGCCTTGGTACCTATTTGAATAAGCAAATATATGCCAGAGAGAGCATTATAATGACCAAAAGTTGCAAGAGCTTCTGTTATATTCATCAAACCTCTGTCAGTATGAGGAATTTTTAAGTGGGAGTGGGAAAGCCTACTTGAGGAGCCCAGAGAGTTACCTAAGAGAGAAGCAACTCATTTCCCTTAGCTTCTTATCCCTGAGATTCAGAATTAAGGAGTTCTGCTTGTTTTTGTGTGGTCCTGAGCAACCATCAGTGGCAAGAGAGGGCAACATGAACCTTTAAGTAAAGTTAACATAAGTTCAGAGGAAGATGGCACTGAGTGAACACTGTTTTCTATGTCCAATGTAGTAAACACTGAAATCAGCTTCAGTTCAGCTCTTCTTTGGGACAGTCTGCAATTAAGGCCTTTACACTTGGGGGTCAAGCCTACACTAAGGCTCAACATAATACTTCTACAAAGGACCCCTACAGCCAACAGTGGGCAGCATAAAGGGATTTTAGTCCCCATCACATTTCTGGATATAACCATTGGAAACCACTTGGCCCCAAACCAACACTGCCCAAGTTTCACTCAAGCCTCACATCGGATACAGTATATCCTATGAAACTGGCTCTGAAACTGTTTTGTCCTGGGAGCCCCAGCTCTTTTTAATGGCTGTTGGTTACACTGGGGAATTAACCTGCTGCTCCTCAAGGAATGGAATAGAAAGGAAAGGACAAAAAGGAAAGGAAAGGAGAGAGAAGAGAGGAGAGGAATGAGGGCATGGAAGGGAAAGAAAGGAAAGGAGAAAGGGAAGAAAGAAAGGAAAATTTGTCTCAGCCGTTGTGTTTTGGCCAAGACCACCCAAGATAAACCCAGCTTCTACACAGTAGCTCTCCATGATAGTAGACACTCTTCTTCTCTTCTACATACTGTATTTAAAAATTTTTTAACGTTTACTTATTTGTATTTTCAGAGAAATTAGCGGCTGTCCACCCTCTGTAGAGTTTCAAGGACATCCTGGAAAAAGCCTTGGTACCTATTTGAGTAAGCAGAGAGAGACAGAGAGAGACAGAACACAAGTGGGGGAGGGGGAGGGAGGGAGAAAGAGACATGGAATCTGAAGCAGGCTCCAGGCTCCGAGCTGTAAGCACAGAGCATGACGTGTGGCTTGAACCCATGAACCATGAGATCATGACCTGAGCTGAAGTCAAACGATTAACTGACTGAGCCACCCAAGTGCCCCTCTCTTACATACTATTAGGTACAAGATGTTCCTTGAAGTTGGAATGTAGAGAGGGTTGAAGCCATGAGGAAATGCAGACCAAACCTCCCTCTTCTCCTAAGTGAATATTCAAGCATAATTATATTTTGGGATATAACTAAATCATATTCTGTATTCTATATGCATGTAGAATATAAAGAGGATTCCATATTATTTTGATGTTCAAAATAAACTTGTAAATTAGAAAGGCCAAATATTACTTCCCCCATTTGAAATGTCAGCCCTTTGTAGCTGAGGGTCAAGCAAGGCTTCTTGATTGTATAATATTCTAAAATAATCCAATCTCCTTCTTGACCTGGTGCGATAAGCAGAAAATTTTCCCCTCCTCCCCAAATGTCCACTTCCCAATCCCTAGAACCTGTGAATATGGTATTTTATATTGCAAAGGGTTTTTGCTAATGTGAAGTATCTGGAGATGGGGAAGTTATCCTGAATTGTCTGACTGGACCCAACATAATCACAAAGATCTTAGTAAGTGGAAGGTTCAGAGTCAGAGAGGAGATGTGATCACAAAAGCAGACTGGGAGCAGGAGAGGGAGAGAGAGAGGGAGAAGGAGAGAAATTTGAAGGTTCTATGCCCCTGCTGACTTTGAAAATGGAGGAAGAGGCCCTGAGCCAGAGAATGCAGGTGGTATCTTAAAGTGTAAGAAAGTCAAGGAAATAGATTCTTTTCTAGAGCCTCCAGAAGGAAGGCACTTCTGCCAATACCCTTATTATAGGACTTCAGACCTCCAGAATTCTAAGATCATACATTTGTGTTGTTTTAGGCCTATAAATTTGTGGTAATTTACTACCATGGCAATAGGAATCTATACACCTAGCTAAGACACAATCAGTGGTAAGTCTTTAGCAACAAAACTGATTTGTAATCTATTTTACTGCCTATCTATTTCTGTATGGAAAGAAAAGATAGTATAATAAATAGTTAACTGGCAGGAAATTATTTGGTGCTTACTTACCTGATAGGATTGTTGTGTATTTCTAGCTTCTGGGTATCACCAACTTCTCCTTACAGACACAGTCAGCTACTGCAGCCCAACTCTGAATGTCCCTCTGTGCACGTGTCTGCCAATTTCACACTTGGGCATGAAAGCAGAGCTGTGGGTAGGAACAGTGTATGTTCTGAAGGGTCAGCAAAAACTTTTGCTTGCTTAAAGTTTTTTCAAGCTGTTTTCAAGGTCCACTAATACCATGTTGGTTCACAATTACAAATTAAAAATGAGAATTTGCTTTTGAGACCGTTTGAAGAACTCTACTCAGAAACATCTACATACTTTTCAGTTTCCCAGGGTTTAAGTTCAAAATTCTCAAGGATGTCTGTTGAAGTTCATTGGAGAGAAATGACCTTCACATTAATTTTTCCTTTAGTATGAGTCTATTTCATTGTTAGTAAGTTTCCAGGAAAAGCCATGTTCTTCATGCTAGTTTCCTCATTATTTGTGTTGTGGTTTTTCAAGAGATTCAAACTAAGTCAACCCAGATACAAGTAATAAGCCTTTAGTAACTTGGTGAAATTTCTAAAGTCTCTAGCATTTAAATATTTTTTCTCTAGAAATAAAGTAGTCAGACATAGTCATAATTCCATAACTTGTTATATGCAGCTACACTGACTAAGAAGTGTGAAATGTTATGGTCATAGCTTCTTACTCCTCATAATCACTAACAGTTATTGAGCACTTATTGTATATCAGGTTCTGAGTTAAGTATTTTACATTTGTTGGCATATATGATTCTAAAACAGCTCTGTGATATTGTATGGTGGATTGGTTTTATGAATAGCTGCAGTTATTCACATATCCCTAGTCTTAGTCCATTCAGGCTGCTGTAACTAAATACCACAGACTGGGTGACTTATAAACAACAGAAATTTATTTCTTACACCTCTGGAGGCTGGAAGTCCTAGATCATATTCTCTGCTGAGAGCCCTCTTTTTCATTCATAGCTGGCACCTTCTCTCCATGTTCTCAAATGGTGGAAGAGGCTAAAGATCTCTCTGCACCCTCTTTTTATAAGGCACTAATCTGATATGTGAGGGTTCCACCCTCATGACTTAAGCACTTCCCAAAGACTATTGTTTCTAATACCACTATCTCTGGGGGTTAAGATTTCAGCATATAAATTTTGGGGAGATTCATTCAGACTGTAGCATCCCTGAATCCATACATTTAATAATTTCTTTTAATACTGACTCAAGGCTTGAGCCTATAACTTGCTCTGGTCAATGGAACAATGGCAAACTTGTTGCAGATGAAGACTTGAAAAAATGCCTGCACATTTTTTTCCTTTCTCTTAGATCTCTGCCACCACCAGTGAACAGACCTGGACTAGCTTTCTGGAGAGACATGAATTATATTGGAGAAGAGCTAACATATCTAAACAAGGATATTCTAACCTATGCAGCCCCACTCTACCCTTACAGATGATGAGAAGATGAGTGAATCTAGCCGAGGTCAGCCCAGCTCAGTCCATATTGTGAGTAATAATAAATGCTGATTAGTTTAAACTCTTAAGTTTTGAGGTGGTTGGTTACTTAACAATAGCTAACTGATAATGTGTAGATATTAATATTCTTAGTTTGTATATGAGTAAACTGAATTTTAAAATTTACTTTAAATTTTAAGTAACTTGTTCAAGACTGACTCTAGGGATGCCTGGGTGCCTCAGTTGGTTAAACATCTGACTCTTGGTTTTGGTTCAGATTATGATCTCACGGTTTGTGAGCCCACATTGGGCTCTGTGCTGACAGAGAGGAGCCTGCTTGGGATTCATTCTCTCTACCTCTCTCTCTTCCCCACTTGTGCTCTCTTACTCTCTCTCAAAATAAATAAATAAGATTTAAAAAAAGAAGACTGACTCTACAGCCTATGAACTTAACCATATGCAATTAAAACACAATTTGCAAAACTTTGAAATGAAATCTTCTACCTAAAAATTGATAAGGCTAGTTCCTGTACACACACACATGGGCGCATGCGTGCGCGCGCACACACACACACACATACACACACACAGTGTCTCCATTCTTAAAGGACAGAAATGAGCATTATGAAATAGATATAACATAATGGAGCATTAGGTGATCATCATTGATCTGTTAACTTCACATAGGTGACACTATCGACATTCTGGGCAGAATAATTTTTTCTACTGCATAGGACTCTTTTGGGACTGCAACATGTTTATGGACCTTGTCTCTGTAATGTTCCTTGTGCCACCACCCCAGTCATAATAACCACTAAAATATCCTCATAGTAATTTTGGCTGTTAATCTTGGCATCTACCCCCTGCCTCAAATTTCCAAACCTCTCTAAATGGGGGATAGGGCTGGGGAGAGATATCACTTCCAGTTGAGAACCACTGTTAGAATTTTTAAAATACTAGAGTTAATACAAAAATACATGTAGTTTTTATGTGTATGTACTAATTCAAAATAGCTCACTTTGTTTAGCTCAATAAATTATTATAAGGAAAACATCCTTGACATCACCATTCAAGTAAAGAAGTACTTTGTCTGTCAATCTCAGATACCTCTTCTATGCTACCTGTCCCTACTGCAACTCCCTCCATCCACTCAAAAGTAACTACTGTCCTAGATTTTATAATAACCACTTCTTAAATTTTTATTTCTTTGTAGTTTTCTCACACAAATGTTTATCCCAGGTCAACATAGTTTTGTTTTGACTATAGTTTAAAAAATATCTGCCTGGTCAACTTCTTTTAATCTAAAACTAATATCTCCATCATTTTCTTTCATTTATAATTTATTTGTTGAAGAATATTGTGTATTTAACTATCAGGGCAAAGGTAATAAATATATGAAAACACATTTTTTTTGGTTTGGAAAAAATGGCAATATCATTTATATTGTCAGCTTATGCATATTTTATTCAGAGTCTGTTACTACAAGGCATTGGTGTCATTTTGGCACAGTTGTGTCTTAAGATAATGACCCCACTGACTTTCTTCCATTAACATCATGGCCAAGGATGTTAAACAGTGAGGTTAATAATTATTTCTCAAGGAACAGTCCTTGATTGCTTCCAGGGAAGCTATTAACTGCAGCTCTATTCCACTCATACCTGTCCAAGAATGATATCATCACGTTAGCCATTTATTTAGTACTTTTCCAATCACGAATGATACAGAAAATGCTTTTGCCTTTTTCAAGTCTTTTTCTATCTTCAGTTGCTGTTTCATGGCTTTCTCCTCCCAAGTTAGGAAAAGAAAATCTAACCCTAGACATTACTTGAGATCATGATGCTACAGTTTAGGCTGCCTTTTTCTTAACTTCGTGTTGGAATACTTTAGAATATCAGCTTACAGTATAATAGGGAAGGTAAGAAGCTACTTATCCTTTTGAAGTTGGCAGGTAAGTTGATTGCCTGGAAATATGAGTGCTATTCAAACCTAACAAAATTTGCCTTCTGATTATAATAGCAATACATGATCACAGAAGACTTTGGGAGAAAGCAGAGAAGTACAAAGAAAATTAGTAAAAATTAGAGAATGATACCTTGTTGACAGAGTCCATCTTCCTCATTTTAATTTTAAGACCAAATGTTTAGCTGTTGTTTTCAGGGATAAAACAGCAATGCCACTGCCTAAATAGTATTGTGCTAGCCCTAGCACCAATGCCTGCCTGTCTGGACTGGGGTGTTTCCTCCCTCTTGGCATGTATTTGACCTGTCACTGCACTAAAGATTAAAAACTGTGAGGGCCACCTATCATGTGAACTCATCAGCAATTTGGTTTTGTCCATAATCTTACATGGGACTGTCTTCTATTCTTCTCTATAAACATCCATTCCTAGGATTTTTGGATGAGCTTTCTTCCAAAGTGAGCAGACTTGTGTGACAGGTGGTTCCTTGTCTAGTCTGGATGGTCAATCAGGATGTAAAATAACATGAAATTCATTAATCTACAGCCCAAGCCAATACTATTCCTCACTAGCTCTCACTAAAGCCTTCTTTATCTATAGTCAGGAAATATCTGATCATTAAGAGATTCCATAAACTTCACTCCATTTTTATTTTCCATGTAACTTAGCTTCCAAGGTCTCTGAGGAAGAATTTAAATTCGCCTGGGGAATACTGTTAGTATGATATGATAATTAACAATGAATAACTTGTGCCTGGCATAGTGAAAACTCAAACTCAATGAATGTTAGCTAATGCAACAATTAGTAGTAGAAATTTTAAGTTGGAGGATCCATGTCTCATCCAAATGAATATGTTCAAATATATAGTTAGAAATATATAAACAGGGACACCTGGGTGGGTCAGGAGATTAAGTGTCCAACTTTGGGCTCAGATCATGTTCGGATCTCATGGTTCATGAGTTCGATCCACAAGTTGGGTTCAGTACCGCAGCTTACTTCAGATTCTGTGTTTCCACCCACTTTTCTCTGCCCCTCCTCCATTCACCCTCTGTATGTCTCTCAAAAATATTTTAAAAAAAATTTTTTAAAGCATAAAAAGCTCAATTAAAAAAAGAAATACATAAACATTTAAGAAAATACAAGAGTGTGCAATTAGTTAAATGATATATTGCCTGTCCTTTAATAGCTTGAATTATCCTGGAGAGTCATTGCCAAAGCTGGAAAACTCCAATGGTCTGTATGCTTTCAACTTTACTCAGAAGACAAACATGACTGGGACGCCTGGGTGGCTTAGTCGGGTAAGCGTCCGACTTTCGCTTAGGTCATGATCTCGCGGTTCGTGGGTTCGAGCCCCGCGTCGGGCTCTGTGCTGACTGCCAGCTCAGAGCCTGGAGCCTGTTTCAGAGTCTGTTGTCTCCCTCTCTCTCTGACCCTCCCCTGTTCATGCTGTCTATCTCTCTCTCTCCTAGAAATAAATAAAAATTTAAAAAAAAATTAAAAAAAAGACAAACCTGACTTTGCCTGCTTATTTTCTAATAATCCATGGTACCCAACAGATTTGTTTTAGGTTTAGAATTAACTAATAGGTTTTGGTGCACCTGGGTGGCTTAATCAATTAAGTGTCCGACTTTGGCTCAGGTTATGATCTCATGGCTTGTGGGTTCGAGCCCCACATTGGGCTCTGTGCTGACAGCTAGCTCAGAGCCTGGAGCCTGCTTCGGATTCTGTATCTCCCTCTCTCTCTGACCCTCCCCTGCTCATGCTCTCTCTCTCTCTCAGAAATAAATAAAACATTAAAAATTTTTAAATTAATTAATAGGTAGAATTAATTTAATTTAGCTGCTGAGTTGTACACTCTTTGAGAGCCAGATAGACACTTTACTCACCTATCTAGTGAGCTCCTAGCAGAAGACATAATAAAAACTAAGTTTTAAATAAATATTTAGTGAATGAAAGAACCCATGTATTTAGTTAGAATAACATTGCAGGTTAAATCTGCTTCCTGTTTCCCTAAGAAAAATTTGGGGTACAAAAGTGAATTTATTTTAGAAATTATTGCAAGTCCATGACTGTACTCTGAATCATCATCTGGTAAAAAGCTAGAACAATAATCCTGAAGACAAAACATATCTAAATTCATTCATTTGTTAATATATTCAGGACGTATTTATGAGCATTCACTGTGTTCCAGGTGTTGTATTAGGCAATAGGAATATAGCAGTGTGGAGGACTGATATGGTTCCTGCTTTTATGGAACTTAACAGACTAATGACAGACACAAGTAAATTGTTAATTTCAAGACTATACAATCAATGTTATGATAGAGCCTGTCATATATATACAGCCTATGCATAGCCTAAAACAGTGGTTCTCAAACTTAGCATGTATCAGAATCATTCAAAGACTTTCACAGCACAGACTGCTGGGCCCATCCCCAGAGTTTCTGATTCTGTGTGTCTGGAATGGGGCTAAGAATTTGCATTTCAAATTCCCAGGTAATGCTAATGCTTCTGGTCCAGGAATCACTTTAAAAACCATTGGTTTAGGGGCACCTGGGTGGTCATTTGGTTGATCATCTGACTCAGTTTTGGCTCAGGTCATGATCTTACGGTTTGTGAGATCAAGCCCTGCCTTCGGCTCCAGGTTGATGGCACAGAGCCTGCTTGGAATCCTCTCTCTCTCTCTGTCTGTCTCTCTCTACTCTCTGCCCCTGCCCCACTTGCGTGTGCTCTCTCCATCTCTGTCTTTCTTTCTCAAAATAAGCATTAAAAAATAGATTAAAGGAGTGACAGGGCAGGCTGAACTAAACCTTGTGACCTCATTAGTTTAATGATAACATGAGGGAAGATAATTCATTGAATTGTCAGTTTGTATAGATACATTTCTTCCTTCTTGCCTGTTCAAGGAAAGAGCTTGAGCTTTAGCAATTTTCTTGCCACATGTAAATTTTGCAGAGTATTAGGGAGAAGTTCTTTGAACTCAAGGGTCTTTTATAAACAGCTATACTCAATTTTAAAGTTTTATGCCAGGTGTCCTTGGCAGGAAGGGGAATAGAGGCCCTTCTGAGATCCACAAGAAAGGAAATATTTTAGTTAGGTTGGAGATAAATCTGTCTATGATCAGAGGGGAAGCTTCCCTATTTTATAGTCATGTCCTAGAGACATGGTGAAGCCTCTGAAATTGTACCACCAAGAAAGAATGATCCTGGTATGAAGCCTCCCAGCCTTGCTAGGGATTGGCCTCCCCTGCACAAGGGACACAGAGGCAGCAGAGCCATCAGACTTAGAGGAAGCTGTAGAAATGGACACACAGAGATTCTGAGTGATGACTAAGGAACTCGCCCCACCCCCACCCCCAATAATGTGGGGCCATGTAAGACTTGGGCCTCTTCAAATCCTGGAGGAGGGAAGCGACACAACCAACAGAATGAATTTCTTGACAGAACACAAAGGAGGCTTGGATACAGATTCAAATAAATTTAATGAACAATGAATAAATGTTATTTCTTACACATCTTTGTTTTCGAAATCAGATTTATACTTGCCTCTCTTGGATGATATGGCAATTGTAAAATTATTTTAAAGGAAAATGTGAATCCAGGAAGCCACCACTTCTATACATTTTCTGTGAGTTTCCACATAGGCTAATAAAAATTTTCATATTTAACATGTTCTCAAGAAATATTTGTTAAATTGATACGACTCTATTGGAGTATTTCTAAATAATTCAGATGTGTCAATGCTAAATGTTCAGTTTAGGATAAAGGACACAGCATATTGTAAGTGAGCCAATGTAGTGCTATGGTTAGGGAATAGTTTCAGGGATCACCTTCTTGGATTCAAGTTATTTGATAATTAAATGTCCTTGGACAAGTTAAGCCCCTGATTCTGCACCCAGTTCCACATTTAAAAAATGTGTATAATAATAAACCTCTGAGAGTTGTTGTGAGGATTAAATGTATTAAGTCCTTGGATTTTAAAATGTAAGAACTCAATATTAATGATAATTTGTTGGATATATACAGTTTGCACAGCTGAGCATTGCATGAATTCATTTCTAATAAACATAAATGTGCCTTTTAGGATACATTATTTTTAGAGGCTTAGAATGAAGAAATTTTCAAAAAGCTTAAAAGTTGCTGTTATTGTTATTAAACTGTGATCTGTTTTAAGGCACAATTAATGGAGGTTCTGTAAAATATTCAGTGCATTAACAGTGACAGTTTTAACATTAAGCTAGAAGCATTCTCAAGATAGTTTAACATTAACTAACTTGATTGTTTTTAAACTTTAATGTTGTTATTATTCATTTATGTCTTTCATAACTTATATTATAAAATATGTATGTATACACATAGACATATGTATATACATACATATAGGGTACCCACATGTATTCCAAGTGTGGTCCTTTGTAACATTACATTGGAGAATAACCAAGGGATGGCGTCTTGGTTATTTCATCATATTAAACATCTGTACATTTCATTTTAGCTTATGTTATAGCTGGCTTTCTCAGTTACAGGCATACAGAATATCCTTTCCCCACATAAGCTCTGTTTCTTGTAACTCACCATCTCCTTTTTGATTCTTTAATTCCACTGGCAATTTGGAGCAGCCTGCTTACTCATGTTGTGTCTGCAGCTCTGGAATCTTAGCCCTTGAGTCATGTAATTTCGGAAATCTTTGCTTTCTGCCTTATGTATTAACAGCAATCAGGCAGCCCCTTAAGACCTTCCTGGAAATATCCCAAAATACTTCATTTTTTATTTTGTATTTAGTTGGAAGGGATTCCAGTTAAGTTAGCCTTGGTTTCCTAATTTTGACTGGCCACCCAATTGACGACAGCCTGACCTCTAGTTTGGCAAATCAGCACCCTTGGTAGAACTCTGTGGATTTCTTAAACGTCACACAATCATTTTGTGATATCAACGTTCCAAAATCACTATTTTTTTTATTACAGGAAAACCTTTTTTGCAACCAATATTTAGTGCTAGTAATTCCTTTCATTTTTACTTAGTTTATCAATGAAAGATTGGGTTCCAAAGTAGAAAAAAAGTAAGGATTAAAGCTTTATTAAATATAAGTATATTTTAATGAAACATTAATAATTGAAGGATAGAGTTTATAAAATATTTATTAATACATTTATTCAATAAATTATTAACCTATTACCTGCAGAATATATTACTAATACACTGCAAAAGCAAGAGAAAATATGACCCATTTTCTGCCCATAAGAAGCTTTGAGTCTAGGTTGAAAGGCAGAAAAACAAACAGATAATTTCAGTATAGTTAAGTGCTATGTCGGGGGTAAGTATTGAGTATGATGACAGCAAAAAGGAGGGGGCCTCCTAGAGGAGGTTATATCTAAATTATGATAAGAAGGAGAAAAATAATTTAGCCAGGAAGAGAGGAATGCATTTTTTGAGCATTCTAGGCAAAGAAAACAATTGTATAAGGTGTTAGATTATTTCAACCAATGATGGACTTGTCTTAGAAGCTCTTACCTACTGCGCTAATTATAAGAAGTTGTAAGTATGGCCACAAATTCTTCCCCTCCTTGTATCCAAGCCCTTACAATGTGATGTAACATACCCTCTCATAAAGAGATAAAATGTATTTCTTTCCCTTTTGAATCTGAGTAGGGCATGTGACTTGCTCTGGCTAAAGGGACCTAAGCAAATAATGATACTAGCAGAGACTTGACTGGTGCTTGTACACAGGAGCCTGACCTCTTGCTGAGCTGGAGCCCTGAGACCACCATATTTTATGATCCTGAGCAAGCCTGTTGCAGGAAAGAGAGATCACATGGAGAACTGAGGCATCTTGACTGATAGGCTGCCCACTGCCAGATATGTAAGGAAAGACATCTGTAAGAGGCAAACTAAGCCTCCTCCCCCAAAGATATCCAATTCTAATCTCAGAACCTATGAATATGTTACCTTATGTGGCAAAAGAGACTTTGAAGTTGTGATTAAGTTTTATTTTACTTTATTTTATTTAATTTTTTTAATGTTTTATTTATTTATGAGAGAGAGAGAGAAAGAGACAGTGTGAGCAGGGGAGGGTCAGAGAGAGAGGGAGATACAGAACCTAAAACAGGCTCCAGACTCTGAGCTGGCTGTCAGCACAGAGCCCGATGAAGGGCTCGAACCCACAAACTATGAGATCATGACCTGAGCCGAAGTCAGTTGCTTAACCGACTCAGTCACTCAGGCACCCTGTGATTAAGTTAAGGGTTTTGAAATGAGGAGACAATTCTGAATTAC